TCTGCTCCCTCCCTCTCCCCTCTGAAGGTCTCGGTTCTCCAGTCAGTTTTCTAGGTTAAGTTCTTAGTTTGGCTTTATCTGACCCTTTACTTGGTTTCTCCAATTCCACATGAAAGTGACACCATCAGTATTTATCTTTCTCCTCCTGACTTATTTCACTTAGCATAATCCCTTCCTGCTCTAGTAGCAAGTTTATCTTTTTTGATCACTGAGAAATATTCTGTCTAGTATATACACCACACCTTCCTGATCCACTCACCTGGATTTTCTGAGTCCACTCAAGTGCCACCTGCTCTGGGAAGCCCCTTTGACACCCCATATCTCTCCTCTACCCAATTAGGCAGCCTGTGCTATGCTCACAAAGTGCTCCCATACACCTGCACTGATGAGAGCCTGGGCTCCTTGGAGGGTGGAGGGTGGAGGGTATGTAATGGATACAGGTTTCATGGACTCCGCCCCCACTCCAGATACTGAAACTACAAATCCCATCAATACCAAGGAGAAGCACACTGGGAGCTAAGCAGCCAGGTTAGGATAAAACTGGACATGTGGGCTTCAGGGTTCTATTGGCCTGGTGGTGCAAGGCTGGTTGTTTGGCTCTTGATCCATTTTCAGTGTGCTATTGAGGTCCAAGTCAGCAGAACTGGTAGGCTATTCTAGTTAACTTGTATTTCTCTCCCTCTTTCCCTGGGTTGTTCCTTTACCTTGCTCCTTGTAAATAAACCTATTATCAAAACTTTTGTGTGTGTGTGTCCACTGTACGATTGAATCTTAAGCTCACGGGTGAGAACCCGCAAACAGGCAACCCAGTTCACACTGGGGTGCCCTGTAACAGATTGGTTCCTCCTCACTGGAACATTCAGTCTCTGGAAGTCTAAGACTTTAGCAGCTCAGGTCAGGACATGCTGGCGAATACGGGATAAGCTGGGAACACAGAAAGAAACCAGACTCCATTCCTTTCCCTCTGCAAGCTCACACTCAGGTGGGGAAGTTGAATCACATAAAGGCCAAGAGCCAGCGAGCTCAGAAGCCAAGAGGGGAGACTGCAGCTCCAAAGGAAGACACTGCACTTCCCACTGGGGAGCTGGGTGAGTCTCAGAGGGGTCAGCTTGGGAGCTGGAAGGGTAGAGAAAACTCCAGTGACCAAATGGGGGGCAGGCAGGAGAGCTGGGGAAATGGATCCAGGCTGACAGAACCCAGGAGAGGGAGGAAGCAAGGTGTGTGAGGGCCATGGACCCCACCCTCACTCCACCAGATAGGTAGTGGTCACAGGCAGCGCTGGTGGCCGGTCGCCTTGGTGCTCTGTGGTGTCCACTGACAGCACCCTGCACCTGCCTGCACACAGTGATTGCCTGCAAAGATTTGCTGGAAGCAGGGCCTCCCTGGTGGCACAGGGATTAAAGTCTCAGCACTGTCAAGCGACCATCAGCCATCACGGCCTAAGTCTCATCCCCAGCCAGGGAGCTGACCCCCATGGCAGAGGCAGAGTCAGCTGCTCCCCTCAGCAGAGTATTTCAGTAGACCTGCCTGTTCTGCTCCCCACTCTGTCTCTGGTGAATCCCCTCACCACCCCCAACCCTGCATCTCAGATCTGTACCCCAGTTATTGTATGCATAAGTAAATCTTTAAAAAAAAAATTTGTTGGAATCAGATCTTGAGGGATGTGAGCTTTTAACACAATTACACAATTCCGTGGCTCTCGTTAAGTAAAAGAATGCAAAATCCCTAATGTAAATACCAAACTGAATGTTTTATGAGAATGGGAAGAAGCTGTGTGAGAGCTGAAGATGCAGCTACTTCACTGCCCCTCCTCCTGTGGTCAGAGAAATCTAGAAGGGTGGAAGTTTCTTAGGGCCCTGGAGTACCTGGCTGACTCCATTAGCATTTTCTGTCTGCTGGGAGTCTGAGGTTTACAGCCAGCCTCTGAGCCCACTGTCAGCCTCCAGGGCAAGCCCCTGTGACTGCATGTCTGGCAACCCAGCTGGATTCAGAGTCCTCTCCCAGGTCAGGGTTCCTCCCCACCCTTTCCCCCAGGAGACTTGCTCCCCCCTCCAAGGGGCCAGAGGGTGAATGTGGGTGTCTGAGAACTGTTTGCTGGTCACCTTTTGGTGACCTTGAACACGCCTCTCCCAAGCCTCAGGGGTGATGGAGGCTCATTCTGAAAGCTCTCTTTTCATTCTGGTATTAGGGTCTTCTGAGCCACTGAGGAGGCTGTCCCAGCAGGGCAGCCAGAAAGTTAAGAGCTTCATTCATACATTTTCTCATGCTGAGGTCTTACAGGGGCCAGCAAACATTCTGCTGGGTGGGAGGGTACTGCCGTGGAGGGCCTCACCCCCACCCTGTGGGGCCAACTGGACATAAAATACATAACCATAGCGTGTCCAAGCAGAGATCCCAGACCAAAGGCAGATTGTTGGGGGAATCCAGGAAGGCTTCTCAGAGGAGACACCATTTGAGAGCAGGGACAGCATTCATCCAACAATTACTTACCAAGCACCTACTGTGCTTGCGGCACAGGCTCTGTGATACAGCAGAGTAGAAAACAAAGACATTTGCCCCACAGTTTCTTGCTTTCAGCCCAGAGGGAAGTAACTCAGAAGGAAAAGGTATTAAGGTCGCCAACAGGGGGGAAAGAGGAAGCAGCAAGAGACAGCACCCCACCTATGGATGGAACTGGCAGAAGTTTGGTGTGAGGGGTGAAGGACGTGATTGGGACAGGAGGCTGGTGGGGTTGGCCAAGAACAATAATGGAAGGGCTAGAACACCCAGTTTGGGACTTAGGACTTGATCAAGCTGCCAATCAAGCCATGGAAGTTTCTGAGCAGTGAAGAGAGGTCACCCTCCCCCCTTCCAACCCCTTCCTGGACTTCAGCCTCCAGTTCATTCTCTTCCTTGTTCTTCCAAGCAGACTGTAAGGCTAATGCATACTGAGGAAGGATGGGGCAGAGCCTCTGGGTCCAGGCCTCAGTGAAGACTGGAGCTCTTCCAGTAGAGGCTTCACACATTTGCCTCCTGTGGCAGTGTCCTGACATCCCGGGCCCTTCCCTCCACCCTTTCAATGCTTGCACAGGGCCTGGTTTCTCTACAAAGCTCCTCTTTCCCATATCAATGTCTGGCTTACAAACTTCCCAGAGGGACTCCCTGGTGGTGCAGGAGTTGAAGTCTCAGCACTATCAAGCAATGGCCAGCCACTGCAGCATGAGTGATCCCCAGCCAGGGAGCTAACCCACATGTGGCACAGCAGACCTCTCCTGTCTCACCTGCTGCAGCCCTCAGCAGTGAATTTCAGTAGATTTGCCTGTTCTGCTCCCCACTCTGTCTCTGGTGAATCCTCTCAACCCCCACACCTCTGTTCTACACCCCAGTTTTCTTACACATAAATAAATAAAAAATAAAATAGATCTCTCCTCTGACAACTATTGAGTCCAGATTCAGGGTCTTTAAGGCTGGCACTCAGCAAAACTTTATGGGGTTAAGGCCAGAGGCAAATTTCCAACAGAGTTCTTGACCATTAGAAGAGTGTTCAAACTCCTTCTGGCCCAGCCTGTCTCTCCCACTCTTACCTTCTCATTGACTCTGCTGTTTCCCCAGAGCTCCAGCCCCCTAAACTGTCTGCTTTTCTGGAGAGTCTCTTCCCAGGGCACTGCCCATTCCCTGAGGCTCCCTCCTAACCTAGCTAAAGCCTTTTTCTGTCCCAAGCCTGCCTGTCACTCCCTCAGCAAGCCTCTTTGGACTTCCCCAGAACAGGTTCAGGGTTACCCAAAGGTGTTCTTTCAGGCTCAAAGACTGCACATGCTGTTTCCTCTGCCATGAAGATCCTTCCCTTCACCCTTTGAAGTTTAGTACCTGTGCAGGCCCTGTGAGGGAGAAAACAGAGGCTCAGAGAAGTCAATTATCATTTCAAAATCACACAGCTTTGTCCTGGAATGCAATAGTGATGAGTGAAGTGACCCCAGGGCCAGCTGTACAGTCTTGGAATAGCATCTGAGCATTCTTTGCTTGGGTATCTTCATCTATAAAATAGGGAACCTCTTGCACAGTTAGTTGGGGGGATGTGTGGCTACAGAAAAGAGGTACAATGGGGCTGCCTTATCTTCACTTCCCAGACAAGTTAGGCTAACTCATGTCATCTCTCTGCAGCACATCCAACATCCATTCATTCATTCATTCATTCACACCTTCCAATGTCTGTCCAGTGTCTAACACTGCAGGGTGCTGGCACTCAGATAAATCTAATAAAGCTTTGCCCCCAAGGCGCTGGGCGAAGGAGGGGCAAGAGCACAAGTCACCTACAGACACATCATGATTTCACACCTGGAGGTGTGTGCGTTGTCCTTGACAACGCCCTCCTCCCTGAAGACAGGCACGGGGAAGGGGGAAGTGCTGGAAAAATGATCCGATCTTTATTTTCGAAAATTTATTTCTCACCACTTCCTGAAATCTGAGTATTTCACTTAACACAACACTCACCTCCACGTGCTGAGACCTGGAAGTGGGGAAGTGGGAAGAGCACAGTGAGGGCGGGGTCCCACCATCCCAGAGGGTTCCAGTATCCTCGGAGACTCCATTATCTCCGGATAACCCACCCCTATCCCTACCCCTGTTCCTAGCCCACGCCTCGTCCCCGCCAACGAGCCAGGGGAGTTACCCCACACAAACCAACGCTCGGATGTCGTTTGCATCAGGGTCTCTAGGTTACCCTCTCCGGCGCTCCGCTCTCTAAGACACCCCGCCCCTTCTCTGTCCTCTCTCCAGCCGCACCTCTCTAGCTTATCGCCTCTTCCTCTCGCAGGTAGAGTACAAGTTCAGTCGAACGCCCCGCTTTTCTCACTCTCTGATTGGCTCCTGCTGCGCGGAGGCGACGGGCGGGGTTAGAAATCTGGAGCGCACCCCGCCCCCCGCCCCTCGCCCAGTGGCGGGGGTGATGGGCGGAGCCTCCACAGACCCCGCCTCTTTAGGGCGGGGCCGCGCTCGTAGTCGCTCGGGCTCCGGACGGCGCGGCCTCGGCTCGGCTCGGCTCGGCTGGGCTCGGGCTCGGGCTGCAGCTCTTGTAGGGGTAGGCGGCGAGGATGACAGTGGCTGCGGCGCGCGGCTGAGCCGGCGGCGAGAGAGCAGGGCCGGCGGGGGAAGAAAAGAGGAGGAAGTGGAACCGCGGCCGGGAGAGCTGGAGTCGGCCGCCGCGCCGAGGTCCGCCCCATTTTGCTGAGAGTCGAGTCCAGACCTGGGGAGACTTCCCTGCCGGGCTCCGGCCACCGCGGCTCTGAGCTTCCTCGCCGGCGCCCTGCCCTGCCCCGCCTGCCCCAGTCCAGGCTTCCACGCCGGGACGCTCCCAGCCCCGAGCTCAGGCGCGTCGTGGCCAGGACGCCCCAGAACCTGACTTGGGGCGCCGGGAAGGGACGCTCTTGACCCACCATATGGATCCATGACCCACCATACGGATCCATGGTTGAGGACTGACTGGATCCCAGCCGTTCTAGAGTCTGTGTTGGAGCCCCCAGCCCCGCCCAAGGTGAACAGGGGGTGCTCCCAGACCCCCAACTGAGTGCAAAGGAGCCCGGACGCCCTCAGTCTCTGGTTCCCTGAAACCTGAACGTACAGCTGCCTCCGACCGGCGCTTCGGACTTGGGACCGTGAGATCGCCCAGGAAGTCCAGCGCCGGGTGAGGGACCCCCTAGGTGGACTGGACAGTCGGACAGAACTGGACGGGGCTAGCGCTGCTAGCCGAAGCTGCCACCTTCCTGCCGTCCCAGGCGAGGGGCTCAGCACTCGCCCCGAAGGTATACAACCCCCTCGCCCCCCGCCCTGTTCTGGCGGCGGGTGAGAGCCAAGAGCTGCAGGTGAGAGAGCCCCGGATGCCGGCGAGGGTGGCCTCGGATCGGGGTCCGCTGCGGGCATGTGGGGGACATTGACTGAGGCTACAATTGGCTAGGAGGGAGCACGGAAAAGGGAGGGAGAAAAACGAACACTTATTGAGCGCCCATTGTGTGCTGCCCACGCCCCACCCTGGCACAATGGTCCTTCATTTAAGGTTCACTCGGTGAGATAAAAGGTGTTAGGTATTGTTATGGGCGCTTACAGACATGGAAACAGGCGGGGGGGGGGGGTGGGGGGGGGTGAATGAACCTGTCTTCACTTTGGGCGTGAGACAGGGAGGAGGGCTAGGGCAGAAAGGGCAAGAAGCCTACAGTGAAGGGGGACAAAAGGGAAATAATAGCTGCAGGGCGAAGGTAAGTGTGGGAGAGGGGTCCTCAAGGGGCCTGGGGCATCCAGGCCTTGATTTGAAGCGTGAGCAGGTGTCTTTTCCTGGTCTCTTCCCTCCTGCTCCATGGTCATGTCACCTCCCAGGAAAGGTGACTCAGAGTTGAGGGCAGAGGGGGGAAGCTTCCCAGTTCTACAACTTCCCTCCATGTAAGCCCATGATGGCCTGTCCCTGACCTTAATACCAGATTCCAGGATCTCTCAGGTACTCTGGAGTCCTGAGACGCTGCTTCTCTGCTTGGGTGTTCACCTGTGGAGGTCCCCCAGTGAGAGCTGGAGGTGATGTGACCCCTGGCTTAGCTCCCTCCTTCACGTGACCACTGGAGTCCTGGAGGTGGGGTGCCTAAAGTGAGTGGTTGAGCCAGCAGTACAGTTGAGAAAACCTTTCCAAGCATCCTTCAAGGTAGCCACTTCCCCTTTTCGTGTCTTATGAGTGGAGGGCTCCCCACCCTGTTATGAGGTTAGGGTGACCACCTGAGGTTGCTGTGAGCGTGTGTGGATGGATGGTGGTGCTGGGACCAAGACTTGCCAGCAGCTTTAAAAGGCTTTGCCTCAGATGGAAGGTCTGATCTCAGCCTGGATTGGGGAACCTGCAAGACACCTCTGCCTCAGAAGGGAGGGACTTGCTCAAGGTCTCCAGGCTTCAGGTTGGGGGCACAGTCCCCCGTGTCTGGATTCCCAGGCAGCCTCCTGCTGCCGCCCCCCTGGGCTGAGCAAGGAGTGGGATGTTGTGAAAGAACCCTTGGCATGGCCTCTGTGGGCTCTTGTTCTGGGTGGGCCTAGGGAGGCCTTGGTCTGAGCTTTGTGCCTTGGCTGGCACTAGGTGACCCCTGCTGTGTCCATATTCTCAGAGCCTAGGGGAAGGCTTGGAAAGACCCTGAGGGGTTGGAAGAGGGTGCAAAACTTAGCTACAAGGTGAAAACTCAGTCCTGGGGACAGGAGGGTTTGGAAGAACCTGAAGAAAAAGTGACTGGGGGATTGGGAGCTCAACTGTGGGGTTTCAGTTTCTCACAATAATCCCTGTATCTAGACAAAGCTCCTCTTTGATGAAATAATTTCCTATCTGCGATCTCATTTCTTGGTGTGTGGAAGAGCCTGGAGCCTGGAGTGAGGTTCCTGGGGAGTCTCCTGGGACACATCCAGGGCTCCAAGCCTCACCTGTAAAATGGGGTCAAGGCAGCCTGTGTGTAACCTGTTCAAATAATGGGGCCGGCACATCCGGCAAACTGTCAAGTGCTAAAGAGTTCTTTGTGTTTGCCCGGACTGGGCTTATTATTAATGCCTATCTTGTGTGGGAAACTGGCTCAGAGAGGTAAAACCACCTGCGCAGGACCTTTGAGGTTGTTCGGGAACCCAGTGCCGACAGTCCTGGAAGTTACCCAGGTAGCATAGGCATCTTGGCCGTGAGCCCACAGTTGGGTGGGCTGGGAGGCACGGGCAGAGTGGTATATCAGACAGGCCAGGTGGCATGAAGCTGCTCTGCCTCCCACTCCTCGAGGCAGATCTCCACTCCTCGGAGACCCAGCTTCTTCTCTGTAGCCTAGACTTCTCCTTTACAAGGCTGTGAGGATTCTGTGAGATAAACACACAGTGCTTGGCCAAATACCCATTTCCTCCCCTGTAAAGAAAGGAAGTTTGAATTTTGACCAGGAAATCTGGGAAAATTCTCACTTGCTTCCATTAGGATTAGGCTGCTGCCGTAGGCTCACAGACACAGCTGCGCTGGGACTCTGGCGTAAGGCACCCCATGCCACCTCCCTGGTATTAGGGACCTTAGAATCTGCTTCATGACCCTGCAGAGGGCCTGGATTCCAACCCCCCACTCCAGGACTACTAGCCTTCTGTGGGTTGGGGGGAGCTGGTGTTCATTCCCTCTGGCCCACTGTCTGGCCTCCCTAGGCACAAAGGTATGGTGAATAATTTATGATTCCCCTCACACTGGGAGGCAGGCTGGGGAAACTGCTCTGCTCAGCTGAGTTTTTGAACTCCAGAGGAGCTGGCTTCTGTCTGTGCTATAAGCAGTTTGGATCTGGAGTTGGAGGGTAGGTAGAAGGAGATTCTAGGACTGCCCTCTCTTGGGGGGCCAGGGGGACTCACAGGGAGCCATCTGAACTGAGCTAGCCGAACCAAGTTAACCATCTGAGCCCAACCATTTGATCCAAGCCAAGCTAGGTCAAGGTGTGGGCTTCTGATTCAAAAGGGTGGGGAGGGTGACAGGGGACCCCAAGAACTCCAGTAAGCCTGAAGGCTCATCAACAAGGAAGGTGTCTGGGTTGGGGCTAGAGGAACTTACTGTAGATCCATTCAAGGTTGAATCCTGGCTGTGCCCCTTAACATGAGGCCAGGGGCAAGACCCTTGACCCTGCCAGGCCTCCTTTTGCTCCTCGGTACAATGAGGGTGGCGTAGGGGCAAGTGTTCCAGGCCAGGACAAGGCAGGGAGACCGGGATCCAGGCAGGCAGGAAGGCGCAGGGGCGAAAAGGCTCGGGAAGCAACTGAGCCTCCCCATCCCGGAGATCTCCGGGTTCCATAGCAGCCTCTGGACCTCCCATTAACAGTCCTTTTTTTCGTTTTTAAAAAAGATTTGTTTATTTATGCTTACAGAGGTGCAGGGGCAGTGAGAGGATTCACCAGAGAGAGTGGGGCAGATTGATGAGGTACACTGCTAACTGCAGGAGAGGTCTGCTGTGCCATGTGGGTCACCTCCAGGGCAGGCGGGGATTGAACTCATGCTCAAATGGTTTTAGCTTCTTAGTGCGATGCTTTGACCCGCTGCGCCACCAGGGAGGGCCCGCGCGTAGCAGTCCTTTTAATCCCCACTTCTAGGCTCAGGTGTGCGCATGCGCAGCTGAACATGCACGCATCAGTGCGCCCTGGGCATGAGTGACCATAAGGATGGGAGACAAGTGAGACTACAGGTGCGGGTCATAGATGCAGGGTGGGAGCATGGGTGGGGGGAAGCCTTATTCACGTAGTTATGGGTGACCATATGTAAAGCGTGCTTCCCAGTGGGCACTTAGTGAAAGGCTGCTCCATTGTACATGGAGTGGGGTGTGCCAAGGCCAGAGATGTACAGTATTGTATAATGGGCAGAGAGGTGGGGAGGACGAATTGGGGCTGCATGGTGGGTGGGGTTAGTGAGGGGTGGAGGAGAGGGGTGAGTCTTCAGATGGTAGAGGGCCTTGACTGTCAGAATTCACACTTCAGAAAGCAACGCTGACTCTCCATTTAGAACTTGCCTGTGAGATGCAGATGAAGCCCCTCTGTGCCTTTAAGGCCTTCCTCACCATAGCCCCCCGCGCCCCCCAACTCTGGCTCATTGCTCCTCACTACTCCTTAAACACACATATGTGACCCTATACTGTCCTTGCCTGTGGGCTTCCCACTGTCAGAATCTCCCTCCCCACCTCTGCCTGCCCACCTCCCATCTGGCAAGGCCCAACTCAAGTCACCAGTCACTGTAGAAACATTCCTTGGATTATCCAACCCTGTACCACTTCACTGTGTTAGTAATACATACTTCCATTGCGCCATATTTTACAGTTTATCGACTGTACCTGTTTACTTGTTAACTATACTGTAATGATATTAACAATATTCAAGCTTTGAATACTTACTATAAGTCAGTGCTATGCTTAAACACTTTCAAACATTTTCATTCACAATTACAGGAGGTAACTGCTGTACCCACCCCAGACACTGGTGCCCAGAGGGTGTGCTGTCTCAAGGTCACACATCTAGACAAGTGCGGAGAGAGGAGTCGAGCCCTTGCTCCTATCTGCCACAGAACAGACAGCTTGACAGCTCTAGGCAATGTCTGGTCTGCTCAACTCCGCCCAAGTACCTGGAGAGACACTTTGCATGGCAAAAGCTTGGAAAAGAGCATTTTTTCCCCCAAGGGTAAGGGAGGGCAGTGCTGGGTGAGTGCAGAGCCCAGGAAGGAACCTTGGCAGGGCATCGGGGCCCGCTGGCTGTGCCACTTGGGAGGTGCATCAGCCTCCCTCTGTGGTCTTGTTTTCCTGAGTCTATGGCAAATGGTGTGGTGACCCAGCTCCTGGAGCTCTGGCTTTCTGCAGTGTCCTCCGTGACCCTGGAAGGTGGAGGAGACCACAGCATCAGGTCCAGAGGATGTGGTGTGACGGGCGGCTGTGATTTTTGGCCTGTCTACCGCTGGGCAGCAGGCTCTGTAGTTAGCTGCTGCCTCACCCAAAGGAGGGCGGCGGCCTGGGCTGCAGACAGCCTGGTCATTAGCTGGGCAGAGAAGACCCTGTGATTGGGAACTGGCAGGGCCAGGCCAGGTTGGCAGGGCTTCAGGCAGGCTGGCCCAGCCACAGTGGGGGCATTGGCAGGGCAGCTGCTATTCCGCCTCTTGCAGCCTCCAGGGCGGTGGCAGGCACCCACCAGGCAGTGGAGCTTTGTAGGCCAAGGCGTGCCCTTTCTCCTATTGTGATTGTAGGGAGTGAGCAGTGAAGTGTCTTCTAGATGCCTTCTAGAAGCTTCCAGAGCTCCTCTCAAGCAGACAGAATCCACCCCTTCACTGCAGATCTATAGCCCTCACCCTGACTGCTCTGTGCAGTGGG